CAGAAGAATTACCAACCTGAAGATTAGAATGAGGCTGAGGTACCTCCGCAGAATTATTTTGGACAGGCTGAAGTACTGGTTCTTCTGGTTTAAGACACACAGTGTCAGAATTTACTGAAGCACCTGTGTATACAACAGGTTTGACTTCAACCTCCCCATCTTCAAACTGATCCATCATTCCAGGAGGAATAGGCTCTGCACAAAAGGGAAACAAGCAGCACTCAATTAAGTGCATCTTTCCTTCCAGAATTCAAATGAGTACTGAAGCAACACGCAGATAAGATGTTAAGATATGCAAAATTAGAAGTGCAAACCAGTGCCTTCACTTCTTGAAAAAGCTCAAACATACAGAATGCTTTCTTCACGGGAGGCATCAGGAAGCTAATTAATACAGTACGTACTGCATTAGTGAACTATTCTTCATTTCCATTTTTATTAATCAGGTAAAAAGTTTAAAAATTTTAAGAAGTGCTACAATTCCAGCAGAATAGCTTCTAGCAGAGAAGAGCAGTGAATCTTTGGCTGTTTCTATTACTGTTTCCTTCTATTCTATCTTACAGCCTTGTAAGCCTTGCTGAAAGGCTTAATACCAACTTTCTCAAGTTCCAGGTGTTCTGTAGTTGCATAACAAACAGTTGGATTTCAAGTTCCTGCCTTCATCTACAGACGTGCACTACAAACATTTCCTATTCCTTCGCTTATACAGCAGTTACACAAGCGGTCACAAGCACAGAGGATAAGAATTCTGACTGTACCAAAGTTATTTCAATTTCAGCAAATATTCACATCAAAAAGCTGCCACCTAAAGTCTTGAATGAACAGCAGAAAGAAATCAACAGGGAAAAAATTATACAGCTGCACTCACAGGACAGGACGTACCAGGTAAAGGAAGAAGCCGTAGGTTACATTTCTGAGCAATTTTCATCATCATGTTTTCCTCCTCTCCACGGCAGCAGTACGTCACAGATAAGCCTAAAGTTCCTGTGGTAGAAAATGAAGTATAATCACCTAACTGGACCCAGAAGAGCTGGTGCAACCTCGAGAAATCCACATGACTGTTTTTACCAAAGCGCCCGGCTCTGCCGATCCGATGCATGTAGGTTTCCCAATCTACTGGGACATCCAGATTGATGACCAGGTTCACTTTTTCAGCATCGATTCCACGAGATGTCTTGAGAAAACAAAGACAAAAGGGGATTCATAACTGCAGGGGCTTGAAAAGATGTTTATGTACTGCGACACATTCGTGAACAACCGCTCACGTAGCAACTCAGATGGTTGCAACACACTACAGAGCATCGACAATTTTCCAGTGAGCTTACATGGAGAACAGACATCCTGCACTGGAATGTACAAATTATGGATCACTTCTTTTTGTACTGCAGTACAAACAAGCGCATTTCTTGCAAGCATCAAAACACCTGCCAGCAAGCTGTAACTTTTTTCATGATAGAACCACCAGCAACCACCTGAAATACACCAACAGCCAAAAAAACCCAAGTACTTCAAACATAAACATAAGCTCTGTTTGAAGTTGTACTGTGAGTATATTGCATTAAAGAAAGCCTGATTTTTCCCACAGCTCCCACCCAAAGTAAACACACCTCTACTCCTCTGAAATCTCTGCAAACTTCTGCCATTCAACAGCAAAATTACAACTGGTTTTTGAAACAGAAAGATAGCAGATGACAACTAGGTTTCAAACTTGAGCAGTGCTCAAATCAAATGCTTCAACAGCACGTTTATGTTCTAGTCAAATTAATTCTCTGAAATGGGTGTATTTGCAACAGTCAGGTACAGTGAGACAGTAACTCACCAAGTCTGTGGAAATCAGAACTCTACAGTGGAATTGCTTTAGTTTAGCCATAGCATCGAGCCGCTGGCTTTGATTCATGCTGCCTAGGGAAAAAGAAAACAGAAACAACTTCAATGTTCAACAGTTTTATGCCTCTAAAACTCCTGGAATACTCTACTTTATAAAGTATAGACATGAAAGGCAAGCTTGAGAGAAACTTCCTCAAACATCAGTGCTAAATGAGTACATGTAATAAGCAGGACAAGTTTGAAAATACATTAAAATTACCCATTTTGCTCATTTTAAAAAAGAAACCATTACAGATACTTAAACCATCTGAATAACACAGATTTCAGACCAATTTTTACATCACCACCCCATAAGGCATGAAAAGCTGTTGAACTAAAAATTGAAAGGAAGATTTCTAATGAACACTAAAAGCTAGCTGCTAGCTTTTTACAGAGAAAACAGAAATAGATTTAAGTTCAATATCTGCATTCCCAAAAAATACAGCTTCGAGCTGCAAATACAGCTTCATCCTTCACACAGGGCAACACTTGCCCAAGTGTTTCACATCATTATGTGATTTTCAAACAAAGTAGAAGGCTGCAAGCTTCATCAATGCAGAAATTTAACACGGAATCCTTTAGAGACTCTAATGCTATTCTTACTATTTCAGCAGAGGCCATGCAAATCAAGCTTTTAAGATCAAGAGGTATTTTCTTATGTTAGGTCATTTTTACACACAGTTTCAACCAACAGAGCTCTGGGCAGGCTTACCTGAAATACACTCAGCAGGAAAGCCTCTGGATGTTAGTATTTCAGCTAGATGTTGAGCCCTAATAGAATATACACAATAAAAACAGTAATTAAGAGTGCACATATGACAACCCACATGCATTTAATACAACACTGTTCTTTATAGGCAAAGATTTCACTACCATTTTATGGCCATATTTATAAATGGACATGAGTAACAGATAATAGGACTCACTATCATCTAATGTACGAGGTACTTCTGTGCTGAAGTTTTACTGTGAATATTTCAGGCTATTTCAACATTCCAGCTCTGTATTTCAGAAATTTGCATATTGCTTTGAGACCTTTATAAGAAGTGTTAAAAAAAAGACATACAGAAATTTATCCTTGAATGGATTTATTACCTGCTATGCAAATTTGAGAAGACTAACGCTTGATTAAATGGAATCTTGCTGAACAACTCTTGCAGGTGCTGGGTTTTTTCCTCAAATGTTTTATGTGGAAGTGGATGGGAATTCACAATTTTGTAATACTGCTTCAACCCTGAGCATGAAACCAAGACATCAAATTAAGGATTTCCATAAGAAGAAAAAAAAAGCTAGGCTGCTGTTTCAGCTGCTGTGACATGCTGACAAAGACTTTCAAATGCAAACACATCCACCAAATAAAATGTTACACAGCAGGTTTTTTCTTAAATGAAAGAAACACAAAGAATCTGAAAATTGTGAAGGCATGCTTTGGTCTCAGTACACCCTTCACAATCTATTGACAACACAATCAATGAACAACTCACCAATGAGACTTGGGTCAGTGGGATTCAGCCTCACAAACGTTGGCTCTCTCATGTACATTGTCAATGCATTAGCTAATGACTCAGGGTAAGTAGCTGAAACAGCAAGCATCTGTTTATTGGCTGGCAGCGAAGAGTAAATCCAACTGTGAGAGACAAAAATGGGAACGACTAACAAAAATTGATCTAATCTGCAAATCAATACAATGGGTAAGCACTTTTCTTACTTGATTTGCTCCTGAAAGCTGCCTTCTTCCAGAAGCTTGTCTGCTTCATCAAGAATGAAGAGCCGAATACTGGCCGTGTTCAAGTAGTCCAACTCTATGAGCTGTTTTATTCGACCTAGACATAAAGAAAAAAGCAAAGTGAGCTTCTGAAATATTAACTCCAAGTTTAAGCTAAAGAGAATCTAACTTGCTATTAACTAAGGACTGGTTCTCAACAGTCACCTTTTAAAATTAATTTTAGCATCCTTTAAAAAAAAAAAATCCATGTTTAGAATAATCTCTCACTGAAAACACCATCTCAGTCCGAACATATTTGGCACTGCCCCTTTTTTAGCAATAAAAGAGAGTTCCAAAGAAATCCAGATTTCAGAAGTACCAACTATTGTACCATCAGGTATCAGACAGCATCCAGTGAAGCAAAGTGCAACATGCCCATACCTGGAGAGCCAACTGCTATGTGGCATTTCTTCAGTCTGACTTTGTCCTGGCTCAAAGGAGTCCCTCCAATGAAGACATGGCATTCCAAACCTTCCATCTTTATCCCAATTGTTGTGATAACAGCATGAATCTGCACAGCGATCTCTCGTGTGGGAGCCAAGATAAGAACCTGTGAGTAACAAACAGCTGTATTTGAAAGCCACGCAACAAGTTTGTAAGATTGAAGCGCATCAAGTTGTGATGATTTAGAATCATAGGATGGTTTGGGTTGGAAGGGACCTTTAAGATCATCTAATCAACCCCCTGCTATCGGCAGGGACATTTCCACCAGCCCAGGTTGCTTACAGCCCCATCCAGCCTGGCCTTCCAGGGAGGGAACATCCACAGCCTCACTAAGCAACCTCTTCCAGCGTCTCACCACCCTCACAGCAAAACGTTTCTTCCTAATATCTGATCTAAATCTTCTCTATTCCAGTTTAAAGCCATTCCCCCTCCGCCCTTATAAAAATTCCCTCCCCAGCTTTCCTGCATGAAGCCTTCAAACTCTGGAAGGCTGCTACATGGTCCTTTTGGAGCCATTTCTTCTCCAGGCTGAAAATCCCCCACTCTCACAGCCTGTCCTCATCAGGGAGGTGCTTAAATTTCAAACACTGCTGCTTATATACAAATAAGTGCCCAGACACTTATCCCAGTTCAAGAAAGACAGAGCTGCTGGAGAGGGTCCAGAGGAGCCACAAAGATGATCAGAGGATGGGAGCACTTCCCTACAAAGACAGGCTGAGGGAGCTGGGCTTGTTCAGCCTGGAGAAAAGAAGGCTGCGGGGTGATCTCATTGCAGCCTGCAGTACCTAAAGGGAGCCTACAAACAGGAGGGGAGTCAATTCTTGGAAAGGGTTGATAATGGCAGGACAAGGGGAAATGGTTTGAAGTTGAGGGAGGGAAGATTGAGGTTGGACGTCAGGGGGAAGTTCTGTACTATGAGAGTGGTGAGGTGCTGGAACAGCTGCCCAGAGAGGCTGTGGATGCCCCGTGCATCCCTGGAGGTGTTCAAGGCCAGGTTGGATGGGAGCCTGGGCTGGTATGAAATGTGGAGGTTGGTGGCCCTGTGTGTGGCAGGGGGTTGGAGCTTCGTGATCCACGAGGTCCCTTCCAACCCGGGCCATTCTGTGATTCTGTCACCGGGGCTCACCTGAGTGACCGTGCTGTCAAGCAACAGTGCGTCCAAGGCGATGGTGGAGAAAACGCACGTTTTACCGGTTCCGGACTTTGCCTGCACGATGAGATCTGGAAGGAGCCCACACACGTTAGGGAGCACCGCTCCTCCCGCCCCGCTCCCGGCCCCGCGCGGCCCCCCACTCACCCAGCCCGCAGCGCCCCAGCGGGATGGCCTTCAGCTGAACGGGCGACGGCCTGTGGAACCCAGCCGCCTCCAGTCCCGCCAGCACCGGCGGCGACAGCAGCAGCGAGCCGAAATCAGGCGGGCCGCCGGGCAGCAGCACGTCGCGGGTGCGGAACCGGCACTCAGCGGGCGCCGCCATCTTACGAGCGGGAAGCGATGTCGCGCCGCATCTCGCGAGAAGTACCTTCGGCCCGCGCCGCGCATGCGCTCTGTCCGCCCCCTCCGCCCGCCACACCGCCAGGGGGCGCAACGGCCGCGGGGTCGCGCTGGGTTGGCGCGCTGTTTCTTGGCGGGCTGCGTTTACCTGTGCGCCTGCCTTGCCCTGCCTACGAGCAAAACAAAATAAAACCGCGGTGCAGCTTTGCACTTCAGCCGAATCCAAATGTGTGAATACACTGTATGTGCATTACTTACTGCCCTCTGTAGAGCACTTGCTTTGAATTGTGGGTGTTTTCGTGCACATCAGTTTTATTGTTGCCGTGGTTCGGAGGCTCTGGACGTGCAGCTTCCATTGGTGGCAGTGGGATCTGAGAGGCCTCAGCCGTGGTTCACACGGTACCAACACACAATGCTGTTATCCTGACATCTCCAGGAAGCCCCAGTGTGCTGCAATGGCTTTGGGTGTGCCAAGGTCTCTGTGGCGCCTCTGAAATTCCTCCTGTTCGCATTCCTTACAGGGAGAAAGATACGAACGAAAAAGTGGCCGAGTCTGCTCTGCTGCTTTGTATCATTAGCTGAGATCTTCCTGTGAATGTCTGAGCACAACACCCACCTCTGCTGTGGGAGCTCAGCCCTGCAGGGCGGGCAGATGGTGATGGCAGGGCTGGGCTGCTCTGAGGAGGTGACATCCAGCATCCTCTTAGCTCCAATTGTTCTTTAATTGTTAAGTGGATATTCCCCTTGGGTCCTCAAGGGGAAACGGGTCTCCAATGAGATAATTCTTTGGATACATCTGGGAAAGGAGACGGACAAGGAGACCTGGATGTAACAAATGCTTTGATTAAATGCAGCCTCTTATAACCCTTTTAAATTGATGTGATTTAAACAGACAACGAAGAGCGGTCAGGAGTATCTGTGCTCAGTGGGGAAGGGTAGAGAAGAGGTGATAAAACATCCCCATGCAACGAGCTGCTCCTCCTTTCAGCTTCCCTCACCCCTCCCTGAGATAGCGGGCATGTTGTGGTAGTACAGCTCAGTGGTTTGGATGCAGATATCATTGTCCTCTGCCATGCAGTGTTGATGAGACATTCAGACACATCGCTCTAATTCAGAAAGACACTGCTGTCTGTGGAGGCTTAATCAATTTTCTCAGCCTCCATTGGAGTTTGGAGGGAGGGATTCCAAACCATCTCGATGTCTGAATGCAGCACAGGACACGACCACGGGTAGATTCATTGCTCATCTTCCTTTGTTTTTGTCCCTCACTGACTGGGCTGCATCAGATCAGCTCCTGCAGCCTCCCTGCAGTGCACACACAGTAGTGAAAGCTGTGGCACAGACTCTGTCTCTTTACTTTTGCATGACTTCCAAAGCATGTGCACATTTGCTTGTTCACACTAGTCAGCCACCCCATCATTTCTAGTAGTTCACTGTGACAACCACAGTACCTGGTGCTTTAATAAACTCCAGCTCCATAAGTTAGATGTATCAAGAGCTTAGCTCTTCCAACACACATAGCAGGAGCTGCTGGTGGTAGAGGCACGATTCAGGGTGAGACAAGGCTGTGTCTGATGGAGGAGATGCTCAGATCCTCAAAACTTTCCCTCTATTGCTGTCCCAGTGGTGCAGAGTGATGCTACCCCACTACATAGAAGTGCACACTGCATTTAGAGCAGTTGAACAAGGAAAAAAAAAAAAAATAAAGCATGGATCTGAAAAACTGGTGGGCTTTCTACAGTCAGTTACCTGTGAATGTCAGCCTGAGTATTTCTCATCGATGCTGAAACAGTGCTGTGTTGCTGCAAGCTGAAGTCTTCACGTAGCAGATTTCATCAGCAGTGCCACCTTGTCTGCACTGCAAATGCCCAAGCGACTGCCAGAGGAATCATTAGCAGAAAGAAAGGCTTAGAAGAAAACCCTCCTAGGGATAAGTTATCCCCTAACTGCTCAGTGCATACTTTATTTCCCCAAAACAGCACTCACCACTGTTTTGTCCCTCTTATGATCCCACCTCACGTCCGGATGCTCCTACCTAATGCAGAGATAGGCATCCCTACCCACAGCCGGGGATTGGTGCTGAGTGGTTTTTAAGGTCCCTTCCAACCCATACTGTTCTATGGTTCTATGAGGTGCAGAGTACATATTCCGCTTAATTCCACCCAAGATTCCTTCCTTTATGAACCAACATGTATAAATATCAGCTTTGGATAAACAGCTGTGTAAAGCATCCGGGATGTGCATGCTGATACCAAGGTCAGCTTCTCACTGCTTCAGATCACAGAGCACTTATCTTCCAGCAGCAAGGCAGGGTCTGTATCACGTGTTCAGCTTCCAGCTTGCTCTGTTCCAAGTCCTCCTAAGACTGACACGTGGAGTGCAAAGAAACATCCAGGCATCTCGAGTACCAGCGCTAAGTACTCACTGCAGATTCATCCGTCTCTTTCTCTGGAGCTTATTCTCCATCCACTACAGCTAATCCTGTATTAACACTTTGGAAGAGAGGAATAAAGCACTCCAAGAGAATCTCTACTGGCTTCCAGAGCTGTCAAGTTGTGTATATCTTTTTAAAATACATTCATTATGGGTTTGAACATAGTTACTGTAAACAAGCACCTGCCTTGTCTGATTCCTTTAGCTTCAAAGGATTTGTCTTTTATATCTGCTAAGACGTGGAGTTACTCAGAACAAATCTTGGTTTCCATAATATTTATAAAATAGTTTAAAAGTGAGATAATCTCATCCTCCTTTCGCAAACGAGTTCGGATGAAGACATTCTCTGTGCTTTGCAGCACATAGAAATCACTCTGAGGAGCGCAGCATGTGTTTGTGTTTGCACTGCCATAGTAACTGTGTGTGTTCTCCATACAGTGAAAGTACCATTGATGTTAACACAGATAGTGGATTCATATTCACCACCGCTGCAGAAGCAGGCACTGATGCAGCTACTTCCAGACTGAAAGACCTCACATACACAATTAATAATGATCTGGAAGGGAATGCCCAAAAACATGCATAGTGCCAGAGGGGCAGTAAGCAAGCAGCTTGTCACTCCACCAAATTCCCCCATTCCATCTTTAATGACCATGACTTAGAAAGACAGAACATTACTGTTTTATTCTTCCCACATTCCACTTCCAGTCTTTTTCTGACCCTTCTCTGCAGCAAGCATGAATTAAATAGCAAGCTGTCCCAGGCAAGGGCCCTGCATTATTTATCTGTGCTGTTTGGAGCCTAACGCGGCGGGTGCTGAACGAGGTGAGGAGCAGAGGTCACGCTCACACACAGATACACAAACACACGTGTTATCCTTTCCCACAGCTGAATATTTCTGAGGAGAAAGTTAATAAAGTCAGAGCAAGCTCTTGGTTTTCAGATAGACGTTACCTTTTTGTTATTACTCAAGGCTTGCAATTAAATGAGAACTACTAAGCCTCCCATGTCTTAAAAAAATAATGTTGGTTTTTATGTTAGAGAACGGCAGGATAACACAGGATTTCATTTTAGGTATGATAACATTACGGAGTCACAAAAAGAAGCATCAGAATATCAGCTCGGATGAACTATTTCAGCTATGGCAGTGATGAGGGGCTTACCGCGACTGCCCAGAGTTTGCAATAAATAAATTTCATCTCATTTTAATCTTGGATAAGCTTTTATACGAAGGTTTGCTAAATTATTTTTCAGCTAGTATGAAGATGATGTAGGTCACAGAAATGCAGCCAGCCGAGCTGTAATCCAATCGTTCTGGAGCTCCAGATAGCACAGTGAGAGCAGCAGTTCTGCTGCCCTGGCACTTAACCCACACTTCAGTGCTGGCTGGGGAGTTTTGGGGGCTGGAGCCCAACTGGGGCTGTGAGAGCCTTTACTTCAGGGCTGCAGGCATAGCAGGGTATGGGCCTGAGAGGAATTCAGGAGCCACAAGTGCAGAGACTGCATACAACAAACAATCCCGTGGAATAAGTGGTTCTGTTTGCAGGGGTAAGTCGCCACTTAATGCACAAATACAGAAGCAGAATCCAAGTTTTTGATCTGATATTCTTACCCACCTTGGCTGGCTGCTTATGGCCCAGTGGATTTTAAAGGCGATGGATGCAATTTAGGTCATGCTGAAGCCTCAGCGAGAAGACATTCTGAAAGATTCGCCTTCGGTGTGCAATAAAGTAAAAAGAGGAAAATTCAGAGATAAGCACAGTTGTTCGTTCAACAAAGAACAGCCTCGTGAAAGCGCTGAGGAACAAGATCAATGAACTGAAAGACAACAAATGAGATGAGGAAGCCCTCAGCTGTGAAGGGATAGATGTGTTCTCCAACGAGAAGGAACGAGGCAGTTCACGTAAGTGGGTACAGCTCTGAAGGCATATTCTATTTTTTGCCCAAGGATCTCAATTTTTCATTTTATGCTGAAATAAGCCACGTTGCTTTCTGCTGAAGGGGGTTTTGCTTTCAACTCTGTGCTTTCTTGGAGTCCTGATTTTCCACCACGCTGCACCATCTGCTCATTGCTCACACTGCTGCGGAGCGGAAGGGAGCAGAGCCTGCAGTGTTGTCCCCACTGAGAACCCAAATGTTGGGCTGTGGGGAAATCCCACTGAGGAAATGCTCTTCGTTTTCCTGTTCTCTTCCAGGTTCCCCTTAGTTTGGAGCAAACAGATATTCTGCTCCTTTCTACATCAGCCTCGCTGGACATATGCAATCCTGGAGGCTAAAAAACTGACCAGAACACTGACCTTAAACAGGAGCCAAGCAGAAGCTAAAACCTCTTTGCTCTTCATCTGCTGGCAGATCACAAAGCTCAGTCCTGCAACTGTGACAGAGCTTTCTGGAGCACATTGCCATGGACATGTGCAATAGGTCCTGGATGCTGGGCATGCTGGAAAATGCAGTACTGCTCAACTTAGATTCAATGCTTCCAATAATTAGAGGTATGCTGGTTTTTGTTTGTTTTATATTGGAATATTCCAAGCACTGGGAGAAGCACCATTTAAAATAATGATAAACAAACAACTGCTGTAAAGGAAACCGTGGGGAGAGAGTGCCATGCCTGGGATAATCCCTGGTCTGATTTCATGCCATTTTTTAAGATGCCAAAACTGCAGTGCTCAGCAGCAGCCTCCTTTGTGTAGACACAGCAAACCTGGAGAACAGAAGACATAGAATCTTAGAATCATAGAATCACAGAATGACCTGGGTTGCAAAGGACAACAATGATCATCTCATTTCAACCCCCTGCTGTGTGCAGGTCACCAACCAGCAGCCCAGGCTGCCCAGAGCCACATCCAGCCTGGCCCTGAATGCCTGCAGGGATGGGGCATCCACAGCCTCCTTGGGCAACCTGTTCCAGTGCCTCACCACCCTCTGGCTGAGAAACTTCCTCCTAATATCCAACCTAAAGCTCCCTTGTCTCAATTTAAGACCATTCCCCCTTGTCCTGTCACTATCCACCCTCGTAAACAGCCCTTCCCTCTTGATGGCTGCTTCAGTCCATTCCCCACCAAATGTAAAAGGGCACCTACAAATACCATTGTTTCAAAGCTGACTTGGATAAATTAAGCACTTGATCACTTTTCAGCTCAAAACTGCTGAACCTAGGCCTATTTATGTATTACAAGCACAAGCTTTGGTGCCAAGCCACAGGGAAAGTGTAATATCTAAATATTACCTTACAGCTCAGAGGTAATTCAGTAAATTATGGAACTTTGCTCCCTGTTTTGAGAAAGATCTTGAGCCACCCAAGCAAGGCAGAAGCCTCAGATCTGAGGCTGAGTCCTCCTGCAAACAGACCCTTCAGGAAAGCACAGAAAGAGGAGGGAGGATCTTTCGGTGTAGCATGAATAATTGGTGGAGGCAGGCGTTCCAGCCCGTGTTCTCCACACAATGCCATCTTTCTGATTTTGTACCACTGACTGGCTGTTCAGAGCTGCCATATGACACTTGACATGCTTGGATAGGCAGGGGAGCAACATCCCCCATCTCTGGGCCTTGGGGAGCATCCAGCTGGCCAACGAACCCAGCCAGACTGCAAGAGAAGGTGATGGCTGGGCCAGTTGGCTGAGACCTTAGGGAAGATCAGACCTGGCAGGTGTCCTGCTCACCTCCCAGCGTGCAGTTAGAAGCAATTAACTTTTTGATAAGGCCATTTCTTTAATGCGTTAATATCTTTGCTGCCACACATCCTACAAAACCTTGGAAACAGGCGTGAGTTTGGTGCCTCCCTTTGTAGGCAGGACATGGAAATCCTGCAGAAAAAGGCTGGGAATCTTGAACGGTAACGGGAGAGATGCTGGAAGGACCAGCAAATGCGAATTTCTGAGCATTTCCTGAACATACATGGAAGCCCAGAACACCAACTTGCTATTTAAGTTGGGTTTTGACACAAAGGTCAGCTTTCAGAAGCACCAAGGCTGACTTCTACAAACAAAAATGTCACTAACAATAAAAAATGCTTTCCTTCAAAAGAATTAAAGACCTGAAGAGCAAAGGCTGCAGTCGGTCTTTGACAGTGCTGACATTTACAGCAGAAAGCAAGCAATTGTCTCCCACCCCAGACGTGAGAGCAGAGAGCAGTATCGCTCATTCCATCAAGTTCTTTCCCACTGCAGAATGATTCACACAAGCCTTGTTAAGCCAGCACAGGGAACTCAGCGTTTATTACTCCAACAATACATTGTGCACAGGAGCAGAGAACAAACAATACCTACATAAAATTACGTGAGAAACGTTGGGGAAGAAAAAAAAAATAAAATTCAAAGCCTTCCAAATGGAGTGCAGCCGCCAAGCCCAGTATGGAGCTCTGGAGGTGTTTCCTGGCTCCTGTGTCTGTGTGTCTGTGCAGGGAGGCGGCCAGCAACACTGTGCACAGAAAAGCAGACTCATAGAATCATAGAATCACAGAATGGCTGGGATTGAAAAGGACCACAATGATCATCCAGTTCCAACCCCCTGCTGTGTGCAGGTCACCAACCAGCAGCCCAGGCTGCCCAGAGCCACATCCAGCCTGGCCTTGAATGCCTGCAGGGATGGGGCATCCACAGCCTCCTTGGGCAACCTGTGCCAGTGCCTCACCACCCTGTGAGTGAAATGTATCCTTTCCCAGGACAGTGAGAGCACCCAGAGGAGCCACAAAGATGATCAGGGGGCTGCAGCACCTCCCTACAAAGACAGGCTGAGGGAGCTGGGCTTGTTCAGCCTGGAGAAAAGAAGGCTGTGGGGTGACCTCATTGCAGCCTGCAGTACCTAAAGGGAGCCTACAAACAGGAGGGGAATCAACTCTTGGAAAGGGGAGATAACAGCAGGACAAGGGGAAATGGTTTGAAGTTAAGGGAGGGAAGATTGAGGTTGGATGTCAGGGGGAAGTTCTTTGCTATGAGAGCGGTGAGGTGCTGGAACAGCTGCCCAGAGAGGCTGTGGATGCTCTATGCATCCCTGGAGGTGTTCAAGGCCAGGTTGGATGGGGCCCTGGGCAGCCTGGGCTGCTATGAAATGTGGAGGTTGGTGGCCCTGCGTGTGGCAGGGGGTTGGAGCTTCGCGATCCTCGAGCTCCCTTCCAACCTTGGCCGTTCTGTGATTCTGTGACAAGGAGCGGTTCTGCACACCATCTCCCGCACAGGCGGTGGGATGGGTCCCTGTGCAGCCCCTCACCGCCCGCTGCGGGCAGGGCAGGGCAGGGCAGGGCATCCCCCTCCCACGAGCTGCGGGTCGCCCTTCCCCGCATCGCCCGGACCCAACGCCAGCGGAGCGGAGGGTTTACGCGGCCGCCCCGCCGCGCCGTGCCCGCACGCATCGGCCTCGGGTTGGGGCCGCCCCGCGGGGCGGGCAGCGCCGGGACCCCCCTCCCTTTCTCTCCCTTCTCCTCCCCTCCCCGCCGTGTGCAGGCGGAGCGCGGAGCGGCGCATGGAGGGGCAGCGCTGAGCCCGGCCATGGAGCAGCACCTGCGGCGGCTGAAGCAGGAGCTGGTAGGGGGCGGCGGGCGGGGGGCGAAGCGGGGACGCGCGGGGCCGGGGGAGCGGCGGGGCCGTCCGCGTCCGGCGGGGCGAGCGGGCGCTTTAAAAAGGAAAAAGGAAAAAGAAGCGGCTGTCAGCGAAGATCGGGAATCAAAGAAGCGTTTGTGGGAGCGTGCGAGAAGAGTAAGTTGGCAGGAATCAAAATGATGCGAAGAAAGCGTGCGGTTGTCAGCCGTCAGACGTTTGGAAAAATACCTCTTCTTCAATAGGAAAGCCTTTGTCGTAAATCAGCGCTGTTTTCTCGCTCGGATTCGGATTGTAACCTCGCTGCTAGAACTTGCTGGGGCTTGTCTGCGAGCCGGGCATTGTTGGTGCTCGGGGCTTTGCTGGGGATGGAGCAGCGGGATGAACTGCTGCGTTATGGATCGTCTTCGGAGGTTTGTCTGGGGAGCAGTGCAGCGATCCGATAAATAGATAACGAGAACAAAAGGGGAAGACGAGGCAAAGCAGAACGGGTAGGTGAAGTTTCTGGTGTAGGGCTTAACAGGATGGTGATTTCGGATAGAGTTCTGTGACAGAGGCTTACCCACGGTTTTCCTATCCTTCATGAATTACAGGAAGTGTTTCATGTATAAGCAACAGTGCTGAGTCAATAGAGAGACATGCCGAGGTCCACTGGAGCCTCAGCACATTGTAACCTGGAAGGTCTTTAAAATCTGAGCAAGGTGGATTAAATGAGTAGCATCCAAAAGAACATGCCTAGAATAACATCACTAACCCTGCATTTTGTCTTAGCAATACGTACATCTCATTCCCTGAGCAGCATTTTATTAGCCAGAGTATTGTCACTTTAAAAACTTATTTCAGCCAGAAATTCCTATCTTGGTGCTGCCCAGCACAGCCATGTCAGGGTGCTCCAAAAGCACTGCTGTCATCAGCGATGCCAGCAAGCAGTGATTTACTGGAGGTGGGAGGTCTGTATTAATTAAAATAACTGTAAGTGATATCCTCAGCAATAATAGCTTTTAAAAATCAATACTGTCAAGATAGGCTGGAATTAAAATAGATTAATGTTTCTTTAAAGACTGGCAAGCTGGGCAAGAGACAGCTGGGGCCATCTGCGCTCAATGGCGAGTGGGAACGGAGCCTCCTGACCCTGCCTTCCTGCCACTTTCTTCATTACATGGCAGGTCGTGCCTCCAGACATTAAATGCACCAGAACCAAGATTCTTGTGGGAAGGACTCAGTTTGTTTGAGCTGCCAGATAGAGACAACAGCTGCCCCCTGTGCGGCTAAATGGGAGCCTGGTCAGAGAGCACCCAGTTCAGAAGCAGGGATCCGCAGTGTGTGCAGGAGCAGATATGGTCAGGGGGGAGTGGGGCAAGGGGGCAGCTGTGCACCTGAGGAGCTGGGCAGCACAAGGCAGAGGTGTGAGGCTTCCTGACCTGCACAAGTTTGCTCCAGTTTCAACCATCACAGCTGTTTGCTGGTTTTGAGAAGGGTTTTTTTTGTTTTTGTGTTTTTTTATGTTGGCACATCTCCCAGTTCACAAGGAAAGGTTATCTTCCAGTGCAACTCTATCCCCCATCAGTGTGGGATTCGAAGATTCCAGCTCTGATAATTATTTTTTGTCCCTGTTTTGTATATTAAGACCGTACTGAAGTGACTGTGTGCCTGGCTGAGGCTGCTGTGCCTGGATATCCCAGCACAGCTGTGTGCTGAGCTCACCCAGCCCTTTGCCAGACAGGGCACAGAGCAGCATGGGTCCAGGCATGCACACCCAGCCTCAGTGTCAGGCTCTGGGAATGCCCCCCAGGCCTCTCCCAGCAGCTCCTGAAGATAAATTTGGCCCATTTCAGTTAATGAGAACGCTCATATTCCTATTGCATGTTTTCCATTGTAAGCCGATAGTTTCTGGCATGTGTGGTGTCCCTTTGATTGGAATTCATTCAGACGCTTCCACTCGCAGGCACTGTGAAGCCAGGCACAGCTCAGCTGACACAGCCATTCATCACAGCCACACGTGAGCCCAGCATGGAGCTGCATCCATTCTTGACACTGTGGCCTCATCCCAGTGCTGGCACCAACCTCAGGAGCAGCTCAGAACCCGCTGGGTCAGCTCACTGCCCCTCAGCCTCTGCACATAAGATACAGAGACTTTGTTCACCTCTCTAGTTTGTAAGGCTGGCATGGAGTACGTCATGCTCTGCCACTCCTTCTGGCATCTGTCCTTCGTATGGCAGTCATGAAACCTGCCACAGCACTTACGCAACTTCCATTAATGCAATTAAACTAAATACCAAAAGACTAGCAGCCAGACTCTGAGTCTGCAAAGATCCTCCTGAGGCACAGAAGTATCTCAGCTTTTTGAGCTGCTGAGCGTTATCTCACTAGTAATGTATGAGCATTTAGCTGGGCATCACCAACCAGCTGCGCACAGGGAAGGGCGCCGGAGTCTGGATGTCCTACTTAGCAGCAATAGGATGGGAGGTGATGGCCTCAAGTTGTGCCAGGAGAGGTTCAGATTGGTCATTAGGAAACATTTCTTCTTAGAAAGAGCGGTGATGCATTGGAACAGGCTGCCCTGGGAGGTGGAGTCACCAAGAAAAGGCTGGGTGTCACACCAACATGGTCTACAGCAGTCACAGGCATGGTCTGGTGGTTGCACTCAATGGTTTTTAGTGCACTTTGCAACCTTCACGTGTCTAAAGGTGCCCCACCTGTGTCTGCAGTGCTTGGGTGAGGCTCTGCAGGGCTGCTCATGTGCTCTGTCTGCAAGTGTTCACCTCTTCCTGTGGCACCAGGTGCTCTGTCAGTTCCTCCAGTTCAGCTTGCTTCTAAACTGATCTCAGTGCTGCAGCTGGTTGGGCTTTCCAACTGTTCTTCTTAGTATTTCCTCTCCCAGCAAATAACTTCTCTACACAGAAGGCTGTGGGCATCAGGCTTTCTGAGGTCCCGAGTTTCAAGCTGAGTGCCGCAGTTGATATGGCACATAAGGAAGGGTTGCCATCAGTGGGACCTTGATGAACTCGGAAGGTGAGTCCATGTGAACTTAATGAGGTTCAACAGAGCCAAGTGTGGAGTTGCACAGAGGCCAGGACCATCAGGTGTGGGCACAGACTGGAAGAATTCCTTGAGAGCAGCTCTGCTGAGGGATCCTGGTAGATGGAAAACTGAACTGGAGCCAGCAGTGTGTGCTTGCAGCCCTTCCAGAATTTCATCTGCACGTCTCATGCTGCAGATGGCCTTACCTCTGTAAACTTAATGACACAGAGATTGTCTGCATTTATACATAGTAACATCAGCGTAGTACAATGGGGTTGGGATTTCTAGGCTCCTCCACAACCAGAAGAGTAAATCACTTGTTATTTCTGGCTAGGGGCTGCTATGTCCATGGGGCAGATTTGTCTTGCCTTTGGGGTTTGTGTGGCTGTTGGGTGAGGGCTCACAGTCAAGTTGGCCAGAGCTGCAGCTTGGATCTGAGCACCTTCATCTTTCTTGGCTTTCTGTTGTGTTTGTTTGTTTGTTTGTTTTTGAGTTTTTGGGGTTTTTTTGTGATTTTGGTAGATATTTAAAACAAACAACAACAAAAAAACCTTCTGACTTGAACTTCTGAATGTCCTCATTGCGCTTGCTTTATAAATGCATCAAATTATTGAGTTTGATGGAGAGTCCAAGTCCCTCCTTGTATTAATGTACATCTTGGGAGACAGAGTTTCTTGCTATGAATATCTTACAGGAATAGAACATTTGTTCTGTATGAAAATTACAGCCAGTTATTTTGTACTGTCTCACACTGGGTCCTATTCTGGTAACTGCCACACTCAGAAAGGATCCCCTGTGCCTTCGTTAGTGCTGTCCTCACCCAAGGTCCAGCAGACCAGGTGTCAGTGATGGGCACCAAGGCCTGGGCTTGTGCAGGGATGTCAGCAGGTAGAATCACAGCATATTTGTGCTGATCAAGAGCTCAGTTCTTGCAGGTTCCATCTCCCCTGGGGGTGGCACCTGGGAGGTTATGGCAGAATCCCTCCTTGGTGTTGCTTTGGAAGAGGGCAGAAAGCTCAGGAGCAGATTTCCTATCATGTGCAACCCTGAGCCTGATCCTCTTATTTCCAGGGAGGACTCCTGAAGATGACTGCATTGGATTCTTGTAGTTTTGAAACCACATCTGCACGTGTTCAGGAATGTTTATGATACCCCAGTGCAGGCAGGCTGCTGGGCTGCAAACTGCCATTACAAATGGCAGTTGCAATTGAACGGAAAGAAGCAGGGTAAGGAGGACAGCTAACTAAGTGCTGTGAACCGTGTCTTCCACGGGTAACATCTGCTTGAGATCTGCTTAACCTCCTGGGAAAACCTTTGGGAAAGTTTCAGCATCCTTCCTTCCTCTTTCAGATGCACGCTCACGGTTTACACCCTAATTTATTCTGGAAGGAAAAGAGGTTAAGATGACTTGAAATCCATGTGAAGAAATTCAAGGACAGGCAGAACACTGCAAGCTATAGCATCCAGAGAGCACAGCTGGAGGGAAGCTCCCTGCACAGTGCAGACCTGAGCTGGGACAGTTCCAGCTTGCAGAAGATTAATCACAGTGACCCGAACAGAAACGGAAACAATGTGATCAGCTCAGCACTTCTAAAATAATTTTGGTCTCCATTAGGTCACCCCCTCTAAATACCAATTGTTTCTGTCTGGTTCTGTTGCCTATCAGCCCCATTATGACAAGCTGCTATTTGCCGTTTGCTCTTTCCTGTTCCTCTCAGGAATAGTTTCCTCCTGTTGCATTGCTTTTACCTCAGAGCCGGACATCTGTCTTCCTCCTCATTACACAGCCATGCTCAGAGCTCTTCCCGGTTCCGCCTCAGCTGCAGCCCTGAGCAGGCAGTGCACAGAGGGACTGAGCAGGCACTCACTGGGATCCTAGAATGGCCTGGGTTGAAAAAGACCACAACGCTCATCTCTTTTCAACCCCCTGCTGTGTGCAGGTCGCCAACCAGCAGCCCAGGCTGCCCAGAGCCACATCCAGCCTGGCCTTGAATGCCTGCAGGGATGGGGCATCCGCAGCCTATTAGATGGCGCTAGGAAAAACTTCTTTCCCTGGATGAGTTTAAGAAGTTAATTGATCCATGGGGTGGGAAACAGCTGCAGGAATCTCCCTTCTTCACACATCTGAGGTATTTGGGTTTGAATTTGTTAAAATGCCAGCACCTGTGAAAGGGCTCCTTGGGGCGAGTTGTCATCCTGCAGTGTTAATTAGTCGAGGGAAGTTCATTGATTTATAAATTGTGTAAACCAGTTGTGGCTGCTCCAGGAGTAAAACTCTTCCGTGCCATTTTTTTTTTAGGGAAATGTTCTGAAATAATGGATTTTGAGATGCAGTTTGAGGCAATCCAGCTTTAACTGACACATTTGAACGCCCATGAGCTGTCGCAGTTCCCATCTGTCTTTTGTTGGAAGCAGAGGCGAAGCTTTGAAGCCCCTTCCCCTGTGCTCTGGCTGGGATTTGCAGCTCACAGGAGCACGAGGCAGAGCATCTCCTGCTGCCCACAGTGCCCGGATTACATAAAGCCACTTGCATAACCTCTGTGAGTGCAGGCAGGGGCTCTGTGCCAGATGAGGGTTCTATGGGGTTTGTGCCACACTCACGCTCTGTCTCAAGTTGCACTTAAATTCCTTTCACGCCACATTCGGGCTCTGTGCTCAGCCCTGTGTTCCCAGCACCTCACAGCCAGCATCCTTTCCACTGTGTCACTGCACAGCCTGGCTCATCCAACAGCCCAGGTTGCTTAACTTCACCCCCTGGCCAGCACTGTGCTCTGTGTTCTGGGGGAGGTATTTCTGTTTCCACTGCTTGAAGCCCAAAGAGCAGCAGAGTGGGAACCTGGGGTGGTGAGATCTTCTTGGCAGAGGGGAGGGAATGGCTGTTAGGCACGAGGGAAGAAACTTTCCTCCCCAGAGTTCTCTCTCCAGGGTGCGTACTCTTAATTACCGCAGAGTAATTACAAGTGGATGGGATCCAAGGCCCTGCACAATGATCTCCAGTCGGTGACTTCACTTGGGCTGGGTTTCGTTCAGTGCTGATCCTACACTGTGAACAGCAGAAGACAGTGCAGGCTTCTGTTGGATTGGGGTTTGTTGTCTTTCCAACTTCCACAACCTGAATCTTCAGCAGTGTTTGCAAGCAGAGTTAAAAGCCTTTGCAATCCTTTTGGTGAAAGTGGGATCAGTTCCTTTTCCCAGGGGGGACACTGCAGCCATCCCCAAAATCAGCATCCAAACCTCAGCATCCTTCAGGGGAGAGCATCTCTGCAGAGGAAAAGGGCCGTGCTGCTTCTCCAGGGGCTCACACTCCCCAGGTTGGCATTGGCTCCTTTGCTCAGGTTCACTTCCCAGCATGAGGGAAGTGCTGGAACGGGGCTCTGGGGCTCAGACCCCATCCTGGGGGGAGGATGAGTCCATCTGCGAGAGACGATCACACGGATGACAAATGCTGCCCATGAAATATTAATGCTTAATAAAGCCTCGCCGGATGAGGCATGCATTGTAATGATGCCACCCATCATGGGGGAGTTAATTGAATCAATGAGGTGAGCAGTGGAGCCGGCCAGCATATGCTGGGGTTTGATCAGCCCAGTCATTACCAAGGACCCTTGTCACTCAGCGCCGCGGTGCCTGCAGGGGATTTGATGAGAGGCAGCCAATGGGGGGCCGGGCCAGCTCCAAATCCAGCTTTTTGCAAAGCCCCAGATAAAACAGACTTCCATTAATAAGGCGAGAAAGGTTAGGACGAGAAGCATTACAGCAAATCTGGAGAGGTAAGGTGATAGTTTCGTCTGAGGCTTGTAGAACATATGGCCTCAGCTTTTGTGCTGGTAACCCGAGAGCTGTTAGTCTGGAAGTGGGGCACTATTTGCATATCTGCAGAAGTAGAGGTTTATTTGCTGGTGTTAAAAAATGAGATAGCTGGGGAATCCGGGCAGTAATTGGGAGGGTGAGAGGTTCTCTGTGTCTTCATGGGCAGCGCATTCGTTCTGAGTGATGACTGTTTCTTGGGAGGGAGGCTTTGAAGAGTCAGTGCAGTCTGCTGGCTTGGTTTTGGCTCTGGGTGGTGAAGTGCAGGCAGAGGTTGGTGCTCAGAAACTGGTGTGGAACTTGCTGCTTTTGGACTCGGGTTGTTGCAGGAGGGCAAAGCTTTTGTTGGCTGCTCTGGCATAAAGCTCAGGTCTGGGAAATGGAAATGGAGCAAATAATTGAATTCATTTAAGCAAAAGCGAAGGAGAGGTAAAAAGCTAAAGCTGGAGATGGTGAAGCTGAACAAAAGGCGCAGCTGTCCTTCACCTTAAACTTAAAAAGATCTATGGCTACACAGAAAAAAAATGCAGTGAGCCTTTTAAAGGGCTTGTTTCTGGCAGCGTAGGCTAAAGCTTTTCCTAGACAGCGCTAATCTGCTCTGCAAACCACCTTGCATGGATGCGACGTCTGCACCTCCAGCCCCAGCCCCTGCTGCTCTCCCTCTCCTTCCCATCCCCTCCCCGAAGTGGCAGCTGTTGGAAAGTATCGCCCATTTGTTTTATGGCACAGCTTTGGGAATGTGATCCAGATCCTACCTAAAGAGAAAGCAGCGGAGCAAAAGAAGATGGGAATGTAGAAGCTCTGGAAAAAAAATGACTGGAGTTTTGCAAGCATGGGAAGTTAAGTCTGTATGGCAAATTTCAGGGATGAAGCAGCAATGCTGCTAATGTTCCTAGCGTGGGAATCAAGGAGGTTGCTGCCTTCCTGGAAATAAGTTTGGATTTTGTTCGATGTTACCTCCAAAATTTCAAGTCCGTCGACATTTCTTTGTCCTCCACTGAGAAGTGCCTGTAACGAGAGAGTTCAGCTCCGAATAGGCATTGTGTAGTGATGTGTGATCCTCACTAGGATTCCGTTTACTGTAGCACTTTGGGTATAGAAACAGTTCTCAGGGGAAGGCGCAGTCTCATTATTCCCACTCCTGATTTCCGTTTGTTCTCTGCACAGCGCAGAGCAAACAAAAGCAGCAGTGAAGGCTCCAGCTGCAGGCAGCCCGGCTGCTCCCAGCCCTGCGCCTTGGGGCTCTGCCAGGCGATTCCTGCCATCTCCAACTATTTGTTTTTGTTGTCAGGTCACAACACCCCCCTTCTTCTGTCAGCTTCTCTTGTTTCCAGAGGGTCTGACTTATTTTTAAACTGTTTCAAATCCCTGGAGAATTTGAGACGTATCCGATGGCCGTTCCGTGCGGTGTTTGGATGAGGGGAGGGGAGGGAGCTCTGCTGCTTTTTGGGGCTCCCAGACGCTGACAAGTGCCTGCTTCTTCCCACAGCTGTCCATGAAGGAGGTGGGCGACGGGCTGCACCAGCAGATGAACTGCATGATGGGCGCACTGCAGGAGCTAAAGCTGCTCCAGGTCCAGGCAGCTTTGGAGCAGTTGGAGATCTCAGGGGGCCGAGGCCCCGTCCCTGAGCAGCACCCGCACTGTCAGGGTGGCACAGAGGGGCCGGAGGAGCGGCCGCGGAGCCGAGCAGGAGCTGGGGGCTGCAGCCCTTCATCCCTCACCTGCTCTGTGCCACAGCCAGCATTGCCCCGTCCCACCTCACTCCCAGAGAGCGGCCGCCTCGGAGACGCCATCCCCTCTTCTTCCTCCTCTTCCTCCTCCTGCGGCCAGGACAGCTCCCGCTCCAAGGGACCTTCGCCAGCTCCAGCCAGAACAGAGCGCGCACATCCCAGGACGTCTGAGTGCAGCAGCCAAGGCATGGCTGGGGGATGGACTGTGTGTGATGAAAGCCGTGACTGGACATCCTCCCTCATGTCCCAGAGCAGAAACAGGCAGCCCCTGGTCCTGGGAGATAACATCTTCGCCGACCTGGTTGGGAACTGGTTGGACTTGCCAGAGCTGGACAAGAAGGGGGAGAAGGGCGAAGCATCGCTGTCTGCTGGCAGGTCCCAGGAGCTCTGCAGGAAGTTCTCCCTCACAGCCAACATCTTCAAGAAGTTCCTGAGGAGCGTTCGGCCAGACCGGGATCGGCTTCTCAAGGAGAAGCCTTGCTGGCTGCCGCCTGAAGACAAGCAGCCCGAGATTTCTAAGAGACCCAAAAAGACAAACAAACTCAAGGGGACATTTTACTTCCCTCTTCATGGGAACATCCAGAACCATCACAGCAAAGCGGAGAGGTGCCCGAAAGTGGAAAGCCATATGGAGAAACCTAAAATGGGCACCAAGAAAGTCCGTGATAGTGTAGACTACACCCAGTCCGGGTTTGATATCAATACAGCTGTTTGGGTCTGAGTTGGTCGGTGGCTTCCCCAAGCATCTTCCAAACCAGGGACTGAGGCCATGCGCTGTGCCCTGCCAGGACCGAGCAGGCAGAGCTCCCCATGGAGTGAGCTGTGGCTTTGGCCACCAGCACATGGCATCTCTGCTGGCTCAGCCCCTTGAAAGCCCTCAGGAGCTGTTTGTGAAAACCATCAGCTTCTTTGGCAGCTTTTGGGGTGAGCCAGCTCCCAGAGCCTGCCTCACTGACAGCAGATTCAGGTCACCTCTGGTTGAAACAGTGGCAGGACAAAGTTCACTGTGTGCGTGTGTGTGTGTATGAGTGTGCAAATATACATATAATTTTTTAAGAAAAATCTTCTCCTGCTTGCATGCACTTAAAACTGGGTTCCGAGCCTGACAATTTCAACAGTGATGACCCCAAAGGACTTCTTTGAAAGGAAGGAAAATTCTGAATTCAGAAGACAGCCGTACTCAGACAGTCGCCCACTGCAGGTGTTGGATCCCAGCTCTGCTGCGTTTCAGCTGTTTTATTCCACCCAGGCTGCATCTCTGCTGTACCTGCAGCACTCTCCTTCCCCTGCAGACAGAGCAGCAGGATGAGATCCGTGCTCAGAGAGCTGTGACATTGGCCCATTTCAGCAGCTTTGCCTCTTTCCCCACACTCTTCTCCCAGGGGTCACATGGAGACACAACACAACGTTGCCACGGATGTTGCTTGTTATCGTTGCACTGTGACACAATTTTGCAAGAGACCTTTGTTATCCTTTTGTTTCTTATGCTGTGGTGTACAAACCCTGTCCTGAAAGAACCAAGTTCTTCAGCATCCCGCTCTCCAAGAGCAACCAATAAAGCAGCATCATCCCTACACGGAGCGCTCCGTGTCGTGGTTTCGGTGTCCAAACCGTGCATGTCAGCCTCAGCCCCCAGACCCAAACCCCAGCATGGAAGCTGAGGTCAGGCTTGTGTCTGCAGGCCCCATCCCACTGGAGACACGTCCTGAGGGCTCAGCACACAGCTGAGTTCTGTGGTGTTGGGTTGCAAAAACCTGTTCTGCTCATTCCAATTTAAGAATGGGAGCAGCAGTGTTTGGTTTTTCAAACGTGCAACTCTTCCAGCCTCCCTGGACGCACAGGCCGGTGGAGGAGAGGCATGGAGAGAGAAATATTTTCTCCCCTCAGCAATTAAATATAGGCACAAGGCAAGCCCTGCTTCTGCCCATACAAGGAGAGAAGAGCGGGTCAGCATCTGCCAGCGCTGCTCAGCACTTTTTCAGGAACCTGAGTTGCAAGCAGCTTTTGTTTTCCTTCCTCACGGGCTTTAGGTCTGATTGTTTTGTCTCACATTTCTCTGAATGCTGAAAAGCTGTTTTTGCAGTGTTTTATTTATCAGCAATCCATCCTGTTTATTACATATGCTCCCCCCAGTCCCCACCGGTCCTTTCCCACCAGCAAAGAGAAGGAGCTTTCTATAAGCAGCAGCAACACCAAACAGCAGAATGCAGTACAACAGCTCTTTCCAGAACCAGGAACCAAATTCCCCCCTTTCCCTGGCTGTGCAGGCAGCTGACCCCATGCCCAGCACTGCTCCTGCTGCCCGTGTGCCCTCTCTGACCCCTGAGTGTACCTCCAAAGGGTATTTTGCATTGTAGGATTTTCTGGGGTGTTTACAGTGACAAGCTGAGCATGATCCAGGCTTCAAACAGCTGTTGAAAATCGTGAGACAATGTAGTTGCATCTCCACGTTCTTGGGAGAAAAAAAATAGATATTTAATTAATATTCCTTAAGAGGCATTCAGACAATAAGGACTATCAGCCGAGCCAGACGCCCGAGCCCTTTTTGTCTCCGGAGCAGGATTTGCTAATAGATGTGGGGAGGATTTGTGAATTACCATTTCACTTCTCCAGGGACTTTTCCTGAAATGATAATGGCTTTTTCTCCTCTTTTTTCATGAAACTGCCATGAAATAGTTCCCCATTATTAAGTATGAGACCTACCTAATTAGCACGATGACAGTCTTTAATGAGGTCCTGGCCGTGTTCTGCATCTTTGATAGGTGCGATTAATACCAAACCCTGCGCAATAATTACAGAACCACCTTCCCCCATGAACCTGCCCTGTGGAAGGCAGCACTCGAAAATGAACCTCAGGAGTTTGGATTTATTAGAAATCTCAATTCTTGGGGCGTGCGAAGCCCAGAGAGAATCAGATGTGCTGAAGTTAATTTGACACCAGTAACATTCATTCAGACACGGGGGGGTTAATGAGGCAGTGTGAAAGATGGTCCTGTGCTCACTGGTGGCAGCAGCAGCACTGCTCAGCACTGCCCACTGATGCCCATTGATGCCCATTGCTGCCCAGCACTTCCCATTTTGTAGAGTCATAGAATCACAGAACAGCCTGGGTTGAAAAGGACCACAATCATCATCTCATTTCAACCCCCTGCTGTGTGCAGGTCCCCAACCAGCAGCCCAGGCTGCCCAGAGCCACATCCAGCCTGGCCTTGAATGCCTGCAGGGATGGGGCATCCACAGCCTCCTTGGGCAACCTGTTCTGCCCATTTCTGCCCATTGCTGCCCATCACTGCTCATTAATGCCCATTGCTGCTCAGCAACTCCCATCATTGCCCATTGCTGCTTGTGCCGTGGGCCCAGGGCAGTGCTGTGTCTGTCCCATATCACTGTGTGCAGAGCTCTGGGTTCTCCCATCTGGTGCCCTGATTCCCAGGGCTGCTCCTCACTCTGCCTCCATGCTCTCCCATCCCAGGCAGCACGGATGCTCGCAGCGTGCTTCCCTCAGTCAGATGGCCTCCAGAAGGCTCACAAATGTGCCTGTAATTAAAAAGCCTCTGTTTTCAAAAGCATTTCACAGCTTGTTGTCTGACAAGAGGGTGGGCTGACGCTGGGCAAGAGGAAGGCAAACACAGGCATTGCTTTCTTGCTCCCCCCACTGCTCCTGGTGGTCCCACTGCTGCACTGCTGTGTCCCACTAACCAGAAGGGCTCCTGAGTGCAGACAAACTTAACAGTTTCCCCTCAGTTCCCTTCATATTGAGTCTGGTATGAGGAAAGAAACCAACTGTCACATCCGTATCCTTCACAGCCCAGTGCTGCTCTGTTCACTCCAACACGTTCCCCACCACCTTCATTGAGTTGTTGACCATCAGCAGAATCCCTTCTCCCCCTTTAAGCTCCCAAGAACTGAACCACGCTTTAACACCCGTGTCTCTGCAGATGAGGATATGTTTATCTTCCCTTTTGTTTATTGTACCCACGTGGCATTTCTAATCAAGTACTGAGCCCTCTCCAGCTGGCGGGCAGCCTGGGCTGCTCTCACAGAACACATACAAACCACTTTCTGGCACCGATTTCCCTCAGCTGGGAGCTGTGCCATCCCTGCTCAGCTGCAGGGGATGGGGTTTTGCCCTTGGATTTAACCTGGGGATGGCCCTTCTGCCCGCTCCTGTCCCTTCCTGCAGCTTTTGTGGTTCTCTGCCCTGCCGTCAGAAACACCTGCTCAGGTTTCTCGGCCTTCACCGAGCTGGAGAGCAGAAAGGAGAAATCAATCCCCAAGCAGAAAAGCAGAGGCTGAAGGGCAGCTCGGAACCACAACTCCCTGCGCTGTGTGTGCCGGACCCCGGCGTGGGCACCGGTCCCATTAGCAGCCATGTGAGATGGGTCCTGCCAGGGGCCTCCCTGTGCTCACACCACCGGGTTGGTGCTGGCGGGTGACATTTGGAACCCTGAGCTAACGAACGCGACGTGCTGTCACTTTTAATTAGTCCCTTTGCTCTGCCTGTGACAGGTGAAAGCTGGAGCTGGAGCCCTGGAGGATGCGTGGAGAGGGGAGTGTAAGGAGGGGACTCAACTGTGCGCAGCAGAGCAGTGCCTTCCTTCTCCAAAAGGGCCGCTCCATCCCACAGCACTATTTCTGTCCCCTCCAGTCCATAGCAACCTGCAGGGTCTGAAGGCACAGAGCACTGTGTGCCTCAGGAGGAGCACTGCAGAATGCTTTCACATCTGCTCCAGACGGAGGACGTTGCAGCAGCCCCGACTGAAGGCAGAATCGAGGTCCCAGGTCACTCCCAGCTCAATGACAGAGCGTTGGCTGCCGTGATGGCAGTGGTGCTGTGCAGCTGCAGCTCTCCCCGCTGCCTGCACCAGCCCTCCCCATCCTCCTCTTTTCATTCCGTTCCAGCCCGATTACAGAGAGCTTGCACCCGGAGGCAGCTCACCAGGCGTTTATGCATGCAGCTGCCTGAGCTGAATGCACGCATGTTAATGTGTGGAAATGAGTCGGGGCCACTTTTGTACCAAGTTTTCTGCTCCCTGGATCGAGCCCACCAGGTCTTCTGGGCCAAAAAGAATTCAGGAGAGGACCTCTGCGCTTGCTGCTCACCCCGTCTCTTAACATTGCCCACGTACCAGTGCTGCTGTTGGGCAGATAGCAGAGCTTCTCACAAAAGCAGCGCCTTGCTTTGTTGTGCACGTCCCTCTATTTCCCTTTGCTCAGCTGCTGCTGCTCCATGACTCCTCAAGCTTGTGGGGAAGGCCATCACCCCCCAACCCTGCAGCCCGAGTGACCACTGCCACCCAGATGAGCAGCCAGCATGCAGCTCAGAGCGGTGCAGAAGCCAACTGCTGCCAGGCCCTGCCTGCGACTGCTGCTCCTGTGCCACGCACTGCTGCTGAGCAGCTGCTCTGCCCCTGCTGTCCATGCTTTGGTCTCCTGGGACCAACCTGTCATTGCTGCAGCATGTCAAAGGTATGCTTCCCCATATCTCTACCAGAGAGGATTATGTTCCCAGCGGGGGCTCTGGTTCCTTTTTTTTGCCGTCGTGTGATTTAATGTGACAACTGTAATTTGATGTGACGCGTCTTTGCAACAATTCGCTACCTCGGAAAATCACAAACAAGCTTAAAATAAGAGCAGAACGCATGGACTCTCATCTCCCTGTGTGCTGCAGCTGGAAAAATAAGCACCGGCTTGAGGACTTCTCCGTGCTTCCTTTGGGAGAGAGCGAAGTCATGGACACGATGCTGTAAAATAATAATGTGGATCCCAGCCCTGCAGTGAGAGCTGTCTGGCCAGATGCCTGCACCTTCCCAGAGCCCCTTGGAGTTCAGAACTGCCGTGTAGGAGCAGAGATCTTCGTGTATCTCCTAATGGGCTGAGGCTTCAGTCCCTGCCCTGAAACGAGCAGGATTAGGACAAAACAGACTCGTAGCACTCAGCATCCTATGCCATCGAGCTGAAAGAGAGCAGAGTAAACCTACAGTGGCTTTGGAATTGAAGATGTCCATTTACTGAGCCCTCTGGTTCCAAACCATTACACTGACACTAATTAATCCTGGCATACCCACTAATTGGCTGTCCCAGTGGTTCCTAAGGTAGAGGTGAGGAGCTCTGCACTGGGACAGCCCCAGTCCTGGGGATGGGGATGGGAAGAAGGGGCTGCAGCTGCGGGCAGGGAAGCAGTGAAGAGTTTCCAGCACCGCTGGGCTTTGCCCTCTCTGCAGTGCTATGAGATGTGGACACGATGGGTAAATCCCCATGTCAGCACAGTGCAGGCGGCCAGTGGCCAAACCGTGCTCCCCTATGGGATCCCCAGTGCTGACCCCATGGAATCCCACACCATTGCAGCAGAGCTGGGCACGGCCCCACACGGTGCCCCCACCCCTCCTTGCGCACAGACAGTGAGGAGAGGATTAAAGCTGTCTGCAGGCAGGAGAACACCAACACCGCTGCGCTCACCTAATTACGTTATTTAACAGGATGCCCTCTCATTGATTGTAATTACTCATATAATTTGGGAAGCAATTCGCAGTCCATCGCTGCAGGATGCGCGGATCTCGGCTGGGAACAATGTGCCCAA